CCGGCCTCCTGCCCGCTGCCCTGGCCCCCGCCGCGGCCGTGCCGTGCTTCGGGCTGGAAGCGGCCCCTCGCAGCTCAGAGCACAAGCACGTTCTCTGTCCTGGAAACTTGCTAAACTTAAATTAAATTTTAGCGTGCTTTTTTTTCCTCCCTGGCCGTAAACACCGCTGGTGGCACTTTTTTAATTCCCCTCGCAAGTCACTTTCCGGGGTGTTTTGGGCGCCCGAGCCCTGAGCTTCCCCGCTGACGCGGGAACGTTTGTTGTGGAGGGCTCCCTTCTCCTCCCACTGCCGAGCCCCAAGTGGGTGACGTGTAAGGAGGTGCCGAACAAAAATAAAGTTGAAACGTGCACAGGTTGGGGACCGACTTACGGTCTCCTTTGTTTCCTGGTATGCATTCCGATAGGGCAAGCGAAAGCAGTTTGGGTAATAGGCCTAATTCTTCCAAGTCAGCCGGTAAAGCGCTGTGATGCTGCCATTCCTGTATAATGCGCTGATGGGCTTTGGTTACTAAATGACTTAATTATTGATGATTTTTCATTATTAGCCTTTAATTTCCCATAATGACCCAAAAGAATTTGAAGTTCAGTTTAGGCCGAGAAATAGAACACAGCAAATCGACTTCCCCTGAGATCACAGCCATCACTAGAATCCACTCAGTCAAAAAAATCCAGTCACCGTGCGCGTGCGTGCGTGTGTGTGTGTGTGTGTGTGTGAGAGAGAGAGAGAGAAAGAGAGAGAATGGGTTCAGAAGGATTTATGTTGTTATTGGGGTATCTTTTTCTATTGTAGATTCAAGTCTAGAAAAATTCAATATTTTCAGTTTGTACATTCCTCCTTTTTTTGAGTAGTGAGCTTGAAAAACCTTGCTGGCGTTAGGTAAGTTCACCTTGGGGAGGCAGCATGGTACAGTGGATGAGACAGACTCCAGATTTGGTTCACAGTAGTGAAGTTTGGTTTAAGTTTCAAGTTATTTCCTTTCCTTCTCTGTGACATGGGATGTCACCTCCCTGCGCTCTCCACGGGCAAGTCCTGAGGAGCGGAACTAAAGGGCGGGTAATGTATGGGCAGGCACTTAGTGTCTGAAGCATTGAACAAGTTTAGTTGCTGTTATAAAAGCACGTGCGTAATGCCAATTTGAGGTCTGCCGACAGAATGAAGTTGCATTTTTTTTTTTTTTGTATGGCTAATATAAGTATTAACAACTCGGTAGTGAAGGATGCATGGCATCGCTTCTTCAGGGAGGTTACAATAACAAATCAGAATAATATCTATGGCCATTTCGTACCTGCTTTCTTGGAATTGCATTTCCTTTGAATCTTTTTACGTTGCATGGCTTATATGTGGATTTAGTAATAAATACTGAAATGCAGTTGCATGCTGACGTCACACCGGGGCGCTCTACTTGATTCCTGTGGCCGCTGGAAAGAGGTATGGTGGAGGAGCTGCCCACTTTCCCGGTGCACTCTGGCCACTGGCCAGCACGTGCGTGGGACTGAGGTGACCAGACCAAGGCCTGGACACTTCTTTTCTTGATAACCATCTGTATAAGCCCACCGGGCAGGTTGAGAATTGGTTCTGGAGAATGATCGGACCTGGGCGTTTGGTTATTTTTCTGGCCCTGTATCCTTAGATCCTGCGAAGAGGAGCAGAGTGTAGCCATTTTTGAAAGCCGCCTCGTTTCTTCTCTTCTTACCCCTCCTGGAATGAATGAGTTGAGCTGACGCTGTATGGTTCTTTAGTGTAGGGCTTTGCTATGACAAAAATTGTTTCGTTTATGTTTAGGAAGACATTTTAAAACTTGAGGCTTAATAGAAACAAATTTTTAAGAGTTAGAAACTGACAAGGGCCCCCTGTTCAGTGTCTCATCTCCTGTGTGCTGAGGACTGGTGAGGAACTCTCTAGCCCCCTAGCTGGTCCTTTCCACCCTGGGCAGTGTTAAACATTGTTAAAAATCTATCTCAATACACATATATGTTTTTCTTATTTGAGATATTATTTACTGCGTGTTTAATGGGAACAGTTGTAAAGAAGGGTTCTTGAAATGTTTATGTTTAGAGCTCTCAACCCAGTAGCTCCCAGTATCACTCAGGGGAGGCAGCGGTGGCCACTGCCTTTGGCCACTGTCCACAGTAAGCAGCACAGTTTACGTTAAAACCACTCATACTTCTGAAAATGCAACCCAGTACATAGATGCATGTGTTTGTCTGTTCATTTACATCCCGGCAGGAAACATTTAATGAAGGACTGTCTTCTGAAGTGTGGGCAGGTTTAAGGAACCCACAGAGGATTTTGAAGCAGGGACCTTCAACAATAGGAAGGTGCTACTGCCTCTGGGCCTGAAGGGGGTGGGGGCGTCATCAGGCGAGCTGTAGGGGGTGGGGGCAGTCTCACCCAAGAAGAGGGACCCCAACCTCCCTCCAGCCCGTGATCTGCCGGGACCTCGTGCTGGCTTGGGTGCTGCTGAGTTCTGTAGGGTCAGCTTGCAGGCCCTGGGAACCATGCAGAGAAGGGAGGAGAGTGGCTTTGGAGAGGCAGACGGAGGCTACCCGGCTCTTGCGTGCATGTGTTTAACTTGAATGCGAGTGCCCTGTAAGAATACTTACCCCCACAACATGCGGTACACTCTGATTTTCTATTCTGTCCTTTTTTAAAAATGCTGTTTATAAGCCATTAAGCTGACTTCATATTTAGCGTTATGACCCAAAGTTTGAAAACACTGCCTTAGAAGAACTGTGTTCTGATTCTGTATCTGTTTCTAATTAGTTAGGTGCCTGATTGAGCAAAGCATTTAGCTTCTCCGAGCCTCAGTTTGTACACATGCAAAAACGAGAGACGTGGATTAGACTGGTGGTTCTCAAGTCTTCACTGTATACTAGTCACGAGGAAACTGAAAATCTGGATAGCCTGGCCACACACCAGACCAGTGACACCGGAATGTGGGGTGAGCGGAGACCATCAGTAGTTTTTAAGTCTGACGTTCTGCCTCTCCTCAGGAGCAGGCTACCTGGCATCACTGAGCTGACCTTCCTACATGGCGTAATCCCCTGGCACTCAGTAAATCCCCACCATTTTAAACGGGGTCACGATGTGGTTTGCAAACGTTTCTCCTAATCTCAATAGTTTTTCCAAAACTGGGGCTCTGAGTTGCGATTTATCATCTGATATGGCTGATACTTTAACTAGAGTTGACGTGTTTCTTGTACCCCTGTTATCACAAGAGGGAAGACAAGGAGAGCTGGAGCGGGCTCTGCGTTTCAGGAAAATGGAGAGGTGCTTTCCTCTGTGGACATGAAGGATCTACATGGTAATATGCAAAGTTTGTCTGTGGTGGAGGACTACATGATGCCGTTTACAAAACAAAAAATGTAACTGAATATGCAAAAGGTAGATAGTAAAAACTAGCTTTTTCCCCTCACATCTGTCCGACTTGCCTCATTTTCATGACCTGCCTACTTCCTGCGGGCCCTGGCCACTGCACTGCTGCTCCAGGCTGGTTGGTCACTGGCAGGGCTCCTCATCCTCAGCACGATGGCATTTAGGGTCAAGTAATTCTTTAGGGGGCTGTCCTGTGCATTTTGGGATATTTACTGGCATCCTTGGCATCTACCTATTAGATGCCAGTAGCACCTCCCCAGTTATAACAATCAGAATGTCTCCGGATATTGGCACATGGCCCTTGAGAGGCAAAACTGCCATGTTTAGAACCATCGCTTTTATTATCCACAACTTGCAAGAGCCGGAACGCCCATGTAATGATAGACACGTGTGAGGTCTTAGGGGCAGAAGGGGTAAGACACGGGGTGTTAAACTCATTTAAATGGTTGTTTAACTATTTGACTAGTCAGTTAAATAGTTGTTAAACTCATAACAACTATTACTAGCTCAGTCCTCACCACGACACCGTGACTGTCATCGTCATTTTACCAGCTGGGGGCTCTGTGGCACACAGACATTCGGTAACCGGCCCCCAGTCACCCCTGGAATATGGAAGGGCCGGGATTTGGTCCCAGGTAATGTGGCTCCAGAATTCATGCTATGCTGTATTTCATCTTTTGTAGGGTGAGTATAGCAAGAGAAGAAAAGCCCCAGAATCCAGTTCTGAGAAGCCCCAATATTTAGTACTCATAAGTGTTACCTTTCTGGTTTCTTCCTTCTTCAGGAAAATTAAGGGAAAAGAAGGATCAGACATAGAGATAGGGGAACAAGAAGTGGAAAGAGAACTTTGGAGGTGGCACGAGGGACAGGAAGGGCTGAGGAATGGTGAGGTACGGGGCCGCTGGCCGTCGCAGGCTCGCTTTCAGACACGCAGGCGACGGAGCGCTGGCCCTCGGGTGGGGTCGTGGGTGGGTGTCGAGCCATACGTTTCCCTGGGAAGCCAGTGAGCAGGATGCAAATTTGGGATTTTTAAAGAATTTTTTCAATGTTTAAACCATTTTTTTTTTCCTTTTAAAATGATCGCTGCAAAGCCTAGAGGTTACTGGCCCCAGAGACTCTGGCAGGCCCTTGGTACTCCAGGCGACGTGGGTTGGGAAGCTCTGCCGAAATCCCCTCCTGGTGTTTGTGGTGCTGCGAGAGCTTGGCACACTGTGTGTGTGTGTGTGTGTGCGTGTGTGCGTGCGCGCGCGTGTGTGTGCGCCTTCAGTAAATAGTTCATTGTCATTACTCCTTCCTTTCTGTCCCATCCGTATTAGCGATAAGAATTTTTTGTCACATTGGACCCAAGTCAGCATCCAGCTTTATTATAGCTGTCTTCTCTTCTGGCTACCGACCGTAAATCTCCCCTAAGCCGTAATCATACCTCGAGATCCCCCCTCACCATCCCACTTTAATAAACCCTGCCCTGAGAAGGTCATCACTTACGGCCTTCTCGGATCTCACGGTTCGTAGACTTTGTGTCATTTGCTTGAGTGCCTAATGTGTTTGCTCATTATTTTATGTACCCAAATCTTATCTCTCAAGGATTTTATCTTCAAGGCACAAATACTGGCTAATATTTCTTTAATGTTCTTGTTTTCTAGGAAAACGCGTTGTGCATCTAGTCGGCATTTAGATACTTGCTGACCTTAAAACACTTGTAACTCACACACAAATCTAGGAACTAGAAAGAAGGAAGGGGCTGAACTTGTGATATCCATGACTGCTTTCTCTTTCCTAAACTGGGTCCTACAGAGAGTCTTTTCACTTAATAGTTTGCTACATAGAAAGTGGCCTTTGTTTTGTTGTAGATACTGTAGACTAGAAATGTATTTTCCTTATGTACTGGTAATCCCTTGGGCCGAGTGGAATGCTTTAGATATGTCTTTAGGTGTTTAGATTTTTATTTAATGCGGACATGCCATAATCTCTCTTACCTGGTGATAGTCATTTAACAACGCAACCCGGTGAGGTGCCAGGCAGGACACTAGGGGATGTAGAAATTAGGGCGAATTAAACACAAGCTCAGCCTCGAAGCATTTTCATTCTAGCAGAGGACACTGTTAAGTGGGTGACTGGCTATTCAAGAGCTGTAATAAAGGTGGTATAGCTGGAGAGGTAAGACAAGCTTCACAAAATGTCATAGTTGAATTCCTTTGACTTTGAGGGACAAATGAGGTTTCAGGCAGGAGCAAAGGCGTAGCATCGTTGTAGCGCTTGGTATTGTAGAGGACTGTAGCCCAGTGTGGCCAGCATGAAGCCTGTGAGCGGAGATTAACCGGAGGTAGGCCAGTTAATATGTGAGCTCCATGGTGTGAGCCACGAGAAGTTGTGGAGCTTTTCATGTGAGGGGATGAGATGCTAGGTCTATACCCGCAGATATTGACTTCATCCTCCGGGATGAATCGTTGATGTGGAACAGGAAGACTGTTTACTGGTAGCTTCAGCTTCTGGAAAGAAACTTTTAAACTCTGAATGGACCCTTGAGAACATTAAGAAATTGTTAGTAATATTAGGGAGGAGCTGAGACTAGAAATCGTCAAGGTTGACTTACAAACCTTGTCCAGTAGATTTAAAGAGCGTTTTTAACCTCTTTTTATGTCATTTTGTCACTTGAGGGTTAGAAGGCTAACTCTCTTTAGAGTGCTCTAAGAATAGATTAACCTCAATTTAGGAATAAATTGTTTTTAAAATTTGCAAGTCATTTTGGACTTAGAATACATTTCTCTATGTAAATATTGTTACAGCATGAAGTCATCAAGTGCCCACACATGGGAAAGGAGGCAGCTCTGTCACCATGGCAGAAAGAAACGGGTTCGGGGTTAGAACCGTTTACCAGCTGTGTGCCTCTGGAGAAAGAACCTCTGGGAGGCCAGGCTTTTTTGTGCAGAATGGGAGCAGAAGACTCTCAAGGCTGTCGTGAGACTCAGATGAGAGACTGTGAAGGTGTCCTGTGAATTTCAAGTTACATACTGGTTATGAAGTACACGTGTAAGGTGAAAAAATGTCACAAGGGTGGGGAAATGTGTTTGTGGTCAAGAATACAAGTCCCCGGCCACAGCTGCACAGAGCCGCCTGCAGGTAACCGCAGGGGCTGCGAAGGGGGAAGCGGCCCACCCGGCTTGCTTGCTGCTCGCACACCTGGAGGAGGAGGACGAGGAGAGAAGGGACTTCGGTGTGCAGAAGACTCACCCGAGGAATCTTAAAAATGCAGATAGCAGGCTTCACAGTGTCCTGATGGGAGAGAGGGCGTCTAGAGGAGGACCCAGGACTTCTGGGCCACCTGCTGGGGCGGGGCAGCTTGGGGGAGGGGAGAAGGCAGGGAAGGAGGTGAGGGCGGTCCCGGGTCCCTGCGGGGCGGGGAAGGGGCGCGGAGAGGGACAAGGGTTTCGGAGCCCCTGAGGGTGGATCAGAATGGTAGGGAAGAACCCCTGTCCCATTTCTTACTCAGTTCCTTTTGCCTGCCTCGCTGCTCTGAGGCTGCGGCCGGGGGGGCCCCTCCACACTTCCGAGGGCATTGGACTTGCCATATAGGGCAATACGGAGGGAAGGAACAAAGGCTACTCTTGGGTCTGCGGGTGAAGGAGGGGCGGCAGAGGGAACGTGAGCTGCGACAGGACCACGGGAATTTCACGGAGGGGAGTGGAGCCCTGCTCCCCACACCTGGGACCCCAGCTCCTGGCTACTAGGAACCGGTGGTTTAGGCAGTTGGCTGCATGATAGACCAGGGGTCTAGTTTGCACTCAGTCATTGGGGACTCTGTTTTTGGAACAAAACTATTTAAATGCACATGAGTGTGTGTGTACCCATCCATCAAAGTATATTCAACTTTGGTTTATTATGCAGATGTGATTTAGGACCATTTCATTTCCCCCCTTAAGCATACCAAGTTGTGCTCATTAATTCAGCAGACATTTGAGTCTGGCTGTGTGCTCAGCTGTGTGCTGTAGTAAAGTTTAGTAAAATGTTGTTTCTACTCTCGGAATTACATTCTATTTTGTGTAAATAAGATTCTAAGAACGGAAGAAGAATAATTTTCAGTGAAGAGACTGCTCAAACCCCATAAGATTGAAAATTGATATAACGTGACATATAATCTGGCACAAAATTTCTTTAATCGGAATTGAGGTGTACACTTTAGTTTCAGAGTGTTAGTAATTTATGTGCTTCCATAAGAGCCTTTCAAAATTCTCAGCCATGGCATTGCAACCCTTTGAATTAGATGACAAAGCAAACCTTCTTTCCTTGAACACCTTTTGCTCATAGAGTACGTTAGATCTTTTGAAACGTAGTTTATTTATGCTCTGATTTTTAAAAATAACTCGCTATACTTACTTCAGTATCTTACGACGACAAAACAGAGCCTATGTGTTAAAATAGATTATCAATTTTGTGACTCCCCCATTGCTTCCCCCAAGAAAACACTATAAACAGTATTGATAATCACTGGAATAAATTTAGAGAAAATCAATTTTAATCTCTTCTAAAGGCAAGAAGGTAAGAAAAGCTCTTTAGAGGGCCTTCAGAAGTTTTCATCATTTTATGTGTTTATGCTTAAATTACATGTTCACAAAGCAGTATCTACTTTACTTGGGCTTTCATTTTCAAATGGCGTATACATATAATTTCTTTCAATTTTGAATAAATTAAAGCGTAACTTTACAGTTTTATATAAAAATAGCTTCTATGAAACATACTGCCTATATCAACAGATGGATTGCATTTTTTCCCCTTTTATCTTCAAAAAAAGAGGAAAGGGGAGTAAGACACCGGCAGGTAAGAAGGTCTTGGCCTTTGTCTCACCTCCCGCATCCTCCTCAAGAGGCAGAGCAGAGCAGAGAATTCCTGCCTCCAGCCTCGCTGTCTCTGTTTACCGCTTTTTTTCCCTTGGGCAAGTTACTGAAGTTCCCTGGGCCTCAACTTTCAAGTGTATCCTGGGGAACTGCTTGTACCTACCACATAAGATAGTAGTGAGGAGTTATGGAGTTAGTTCAAGTAAAACACTTAAAAAGTGCCTGTAATAAGAATTCAAATGTTAGCTATTTTATTATTATCGCTAATGATTGAAATGAACAAAGGAATACATTCAAAACATTGGGGACCCATGAATTGACCTTAGAGACTATGAAACAGTGCCATTCAAATGCCAAGAACTCTCAAAATTGTTTACTCTAGTGCTGCAGGAATTAAAGGAATTAAGAAGGCACTGAAGGCCAAGTTGTGCCTTCCATCCTTCTGAGAAGCTGTGGTGTTCTGAGGAGGTAGAGATGATGACCTTGAGAAGTCCTGTTTATCACTCCAGAATTCTGAAAGGCAAAGGCTGATTTAAAGGCCTAATGCGAAATGCATTGCTGTTAAAGTCAGCAGCAGACAGGATGCCCTCTTTTAAAGGATTATTTAGGTTATTCTAGAAGTATATTATTGTTGAATGGCAGAAAGTAACAGTAAAATTATAAAACAGGAGTGACATTATTATCTTTAAATAAGATTGTTTGAAATGGAGAATTGAAGATGATAAGCCAAAAAAAAAATTATAAGAATTAATAGTTTAGTAAATGAGCCCAAAATAAATACATTACCAAATAAAAACACTTCAAAAATACATACATCAGCAATATCCAGTAAAGAATAATGGAAATAAAGATTTCATGGATATTAGCCAAAAAAAAAAAAAAAAAAAGTTAAACTCCCAGGAAGACTTAATGAGAAATATGAACTGGTTGTGTATTAGATATGTATTAACTCTACTGATAGGACTTTTTTCAAGGGTAATTGAAAAGCAAGATGAATAATTGAAAGTAAATATGTTTATGGATGTGAACATTTGGGTTTATATTGTAAACATATAGATTCTTCCTAAATTAATTTGTAAATGCAATCCCAATTATAATCTCAAGGGGATTATCAAAATATGAGAAATCTTCTGTATGATAAAGGTGGCATTTACATTCTGTGAGAGAAGAGTGACTTATGCAGAACATGATAGTTGTTAGGTCATTGAGAAAATAAGCCCAAACTTTCTTCTGGTAGGGTGAAACCTCTAACCAGAAAGGAATTGGACAGATTTGTCAACAAGAAAAAAATCAAAATTTCCAAAGGTCAGAGTACCATATACAAACAAATGTCAACCTAGTTAAATAGCAGTTTCAATGATCTAGAGAATTAACTTTGTTTTTTATAACCATTAATATCTCCTAGGCAAAATGTATTTTTAAAAAATATGTAAATACTTCTTTAAGAATAAGGCAAAGATTTGAGCTGTTTGGTTTTCATTTCTAAGAATATTTTCATAGTTCAATTCCTTAGTTGGTAGTTATTTAATCAGAAGTCTCCATGCAGTAAGATGAATCTTGTGATATAAGAAAATTAAATGGTATTTTCCGGATTCATCTTAATATGTTCTTTGTACTTGGACAGAAAGCAAACTATTGATTCTATTAAATAACAAGAATTCAACTGAGTAAATTTTAAAGATCTAATTGGCTTTATTAAATGATTCATGAATCGGGCAACATTCAATCCAGCAAGAAGAGAGGAGGTCCACTGAGCTGTAGGAAAGGAGAGGTTTTTAAAGGCTGGAAGGGAGCGGAAGAAAAATTAGCGAAGAACACGTTGTCTCAGGCAAATTTGCTTTATTAAGGAGAAGGGGAGGGCCCTGTCTGGAGATACCTCACTAGCGCTGAGCAGGTAGTTCCAGGTTAACTGGTTAAAGGTTACATTCCTGGAGAAGCGGAAGCTGCAGTTAGTTTAGGTACTGAGTCTTGGTTTGCTTATGTGGCGCTTAGCACAAGTGACTCCATTTCGGGACTGTTTTCTGTGTTATTTAATTTTTTTTTAACAATTCTCATATGAGACTGATTTTATTATTAGCTTGTTTTCTCTCTCTTCTTTCCCCCTCTCCATCTCTTCCTTTCTTCTTATTTCATTTTAAATTTGTTCAGAAAACAGTAAAATTTTTCATAAACTCAGGTATTGCAGCAGTATATAAAAAGCGGTAGTTCCCCAGCCCCGGTCCCTGAAGTCACCATATTTCTTTATTCTAAGTCACTCCTCACCATCGGTTCTATTCCTGTCACAGTTTTCTTTGTGGACGTTCCCATCTGGGGTACCTTGTAGTTTGGGCAGATATTAGGCCCTCGTGTATTTCGTCGAAAGTGTGTGTGAATGAAAATTGGAGATATATGCCAAATTATAATCCAGCCTATCAGTGTTTTAAGCGTAGCCCTGGGGTGCTTTTCCAAGAGTCAATATCCTTCCCCCAGTTTCTAAGAGTCCAGCATGTACATATATATCCCTGACTTTCCCACGCTTGCCTTCACAGTGCTTTCCTCGAAGCTGGGAACATTTCTTTATGCTCACAGAGTAACTGACGTTTCTTTTCCCTTCTAGCTGCCTTTGCCGCAGTGTTGCACTGGTAAGACTGCCTCCTCCTCTGGCGTGTGTTGTGACGTGTGTGTACCTTAGCCATAGCCGCTTCCCACACATAAAGGGGTAATTTCCGTGGGATAAGGACGAATGTATATTATATGCGAAACAGTAGTCCGAAAAAAGTAGTTTAATCGATAAATCGGGGTTAGCATAATGTAATTTTTTTAATAAAAAAGAGATTCATTATTAAAGAGGTTATATTTGAGACTACTTCGCTTAATATAAAGTTCATGTTGAGAAAACCTTAATTTTTTTCATCTGGATAGAGAGAAATATGATTTTCATTAACCAGACATTTCCGAAATGGTAACCCAGAGACATTATAGTTTATAATTTTATTATGCTTCAAATATCAGTCTTCTGGTTCATTCTAATTTTAATATTTAACTTGAGTGTGTTTTCTTATAAAGAGAAATTTCCGTGTAAATTTAAGACATGCCGAGCAGAGAAACAAACATGGGTACCATTGTGTTCGAGTTTTATTACAAATTTATCTGCAAATTTATAGATAATTTTATTTTGCGTTTAGAGTTTCCTTTGCAAATAATGCTGAGAACAAGCTTCAGCACGCTGCTGTGTCGCTCTTTGGTTTTGCAGGAGCCACATCACACACCTCTTTGAAAACGACCGGCATTTTTCTCACCTCTCAGCATTGGAAAGGGAGATGGCTTTTCGCACTGAAATGGTTAGTTTTCCCGTGGTGTTTTATGGTAGCATTTTAGGAATCTGAAAATTTTAAGCTTTTTCTTCTGGAAATTTTCAGACTCTCTGAAGTAGAAGGAGAAAGTCAGCTCCCACTTCCCACCCCCAGCTTCAGCACCCGAGGACACAGCCATTTTCTTTTGTCTGCACCCATCTCTGTTTAAAGGACTCTTCAGACATTATTTCTTCTGTAAATGTTTTCATCTGTGTCTCAAAAGAAAGGACGTTCTTAACTTAACCACAGTTCCGTTGTCACACTAGAAAACAGTGAACAGCAATTGCTGAATATCATCAAGTGTCGGTGTTGTAATGACCCGATTGGCTTTCCGTTTTTCCCTGTCCTGTCCTTTTTACTTTTTTTTCCTTTTCTTTATTCTTTTCTTTCTTTGTTTCTTTTTCTTTCCCAACTACATGTTGCCCCTGATTGCTTAAAATGCAGAGCCGGTAGGATGCTAATTTCTCTCTTGAGCACATCTTACATTGCTAAATTATATTTATTTTTCCTCACTAATATAACGAATGGAACAGGGCAAACACTATTATTCCTGTTTTACAGAGGCTCACGGTGGGATCTGGAGAGGTTGCGTGACCCACAAAAGGCTCAAGGTCAAGTCTCCTTCGGCTCTGTCTCCTGTTGGAAAGGATGTGCCTCCTTGTAACAGAGCCGCACTTCAAAATTAGGACCCCATGCCAGACCCTCCCTCCTTCCCTCCCTCCCTCCTTCCTCCCTCCCTCCTTCCTCCTTCCCTCCTTCCTTCCCTCCTCTTCCTCTCTCTCTCTCTCTTCCTTCTTCCTCTCCTCTTCTTTTTACAGCTGATGTGTTTGTTTAAAGCAGGATTCAAACAGTGTCTCTGCATTGCAGCTCGTTGATGTATCTGTTAAGTCCTTCAGTCCTCTTTCTATTTTTGTTTTTGTTTTTGTTTTTTGTTTTCTTTGCTATTTAATTTTTGAAGAATCTTGGCCATTCGTCCTATAGAATTACCCACAGTAATTCCTATTATTTATGATGTTCTATATGCCCAGGTTTCCTGAAAATTGATAGATAAGAGTCTTGATAGCCGAATTTTTTTGGGGGGGGCGGACAGGAGTACTTCATAAGTGGTGCTATGCAGTTATTGTACTGTACAAAGAGTCACACCGTATCTGCTTGTCTCACTTTCTGTGATGTTCAGATTGATCTGGCTTTAGGTATTGTCATGTTGATCCCTCCATTGTACACTAGCCATTAGCCATCAGCCTCCATTAGTTATTTCATTAGCATTTCCAAGTGGTGATTATCATCTTTTTTCTGCATTATTAACGTAATTCTGTAAAGCACTTTCCCATAATACCTAGCTGTTTTCTCCAAGGTACACTTTGTACAGTTAAGACAGGTTACCACTTCTCAGAAAAATGAGTTGATTCTCTCGCATCTTCTCACAGTGACCAGTGGACTATCGTGATTTGATGGATTTTCACATGTTTCGTAAACTTACCTGTCTTCAGGTGGTGACAGCCCTTGCAGTTGGCTCTGTGTCCCCTTGACACGGCCTCACTAGTATTCTGTAGCTCCCTTATTTCCGGCACTATAAGATGTTTTATCTCCTGATCTGGAATCATCTAGTTTTCCAAGAAGCCCCAATTCCTTTCAGTGGCAAATGGTATATACGGACCACAGTTTGGGTGCTAGAGATGCTCATTGCTACCATTTTATACTAGATGGTTTTTTTTTTTAGTAAAAGAATTAGACAATTTTCTTAAAGAGAAATCATTAATTTATATTCATTTTTTTGAATTCAAATTTAGGATTAGGTGGTTTTTACTTATTTTATATTAAATATGTATCTGTTAGCCTGAGAACCTTGGTTTGAAATTATTTTTGAGGAATAATAGTACCTCAAAGATATTAATAAAATATGATGAAAACATATCTGAAAACAAAGACTTTTCTTGCATTTCTTTTTGACTTTAGGATATATTCCACTAGGGATTGGAAATCCTCTCCCAACTTAATAGTTAATTCCTTTCTTTTATTTATTTATTTTTTTGATATTTAGGGTTTGAAACATTTTTGTTTTATAATAAGTAAGATATTTACATGATTCCAAAATCAGATCTAGAAAACAAGGGTACATTGCAATAGTTTCCTTGGGCTGTACAATAAAGTACAATAAACTGGATGGCTTAAAAGCGTAGAAATTCGTTCTGTCGCGGTTCTGGCAGCTTGAAGTCTGAAATCGAGCGGCTGGCAGGGCCGCGTTCTCTCTGAAGGCTGCAGGGGAGAGTCCTTCCTGGCCTCCTCCTAGCTTCTGTCGTTCCCTGCCATCCTTGGAGCTCCTTGGTGTGCCCCGGAGACGCAGTCGCCCCAGTCTCGGCCTCTGTCTTCACGTGGCCTTTCCCCCGTGTCTCCGTGTCTCAGTTTCCTTCTTTTGTAAGGACACCAATTATATTGATTATATTGACTTATAGAGTCTGCCTTCATCCAGTGTGACCTCATCTTAACCCAATCACATCTACACGGACCCTATTTCCAAATAAAGTCACGTTCACAGTTTCATGAAATTTTGGGAGACATTATTCAACCCAGTATAGTAGGAAATTAATTTTTAAATTGACAGTCTAGTACCAAGAACCATTTTTTCTATGTAGGCAGATCACTTTTATATTCCTGAGCCTTAGACCCAGGTTAGAGTTGGCAGCTAATGGTGCTGGCTACCAGGGTAGCTCTAGGCAGAATTGTGTAGAAGATGGCGTTTCTTTCCTGTGTTCATCTGTCCTGCTTTTACTCTGTCATTTATACTCCCTCACAAAGCTTCTAGTACTCGTTTCGTTTTTGTCCCATGTATTCCAGCCTCGATCTTCCTTAATTAGCACGTCAAGCTCAAAATTATTTATTTTTCTCAAGATGGCAGCCCCAGCACTGTCCCTCTCCCCCACCCCTACAACCCCAGTCTTACTTTATGCTGAGCTGATAGTGCTTTAGGGACAAAAAAGCGGTCCCTCTACCTGCACGCGTCTAAACCACGGAAGAGATGGGCAGGTTTTGCAGCAAAGAAAGGGTTTATTAGAGAGTCGCAAGTCCCGGAGACACAGACGAGCTATGACTCGGAGGCCTGGCTCCCCAGGTGTCTCGGGAGTATGGATTATATAGGGAAAAATCAGTAGTCATGGAAACTAAGGGAGTTGGGGTCATGGGTGCTACCGAGTGGATGGTTGGAGGGGGATGAGGTCACTGATCATTGCCTCTGGCTTTGGAATCAGCCATGGTGCCATCCCGTCTGGTCCTCTGGCCTGGTCCCGTGGCCTGGTCCCATGGCCAGTGGGGTGGTTGTTCTGCCTTGGCGGGCCTGAGGCTGAAGCACATCTAAAGCCAAGATGTTATCCTTAGTCTACAGTCCAGCTGAAACCTTTAGTCCTCATGACCTTGGACTTGGTTAATCTCATGTCCTGAAGCTTAGTGGTTAAAGGAGGAGGCACACAGAATAAGGGTGGAAAGAAGCAAGCATCTGGGCAAAACCAGTTCGAATCAGAGAAAAAAAACCCTACATTAGAGAAATAAAGTTTGTGTACAGTTACAATAGAAATGAAAATAGCCTATAAAATTAGTTGACATCAGAATATAATTTACATGTAATATATCAATGTGTAGTCTTCCTAACATATTTGCATTTTTTACTTGAAAATCTGGGAGGAAGATGGCCAGTAATGCCATTTTGGGGATTCAAATTAGCAGTTAAGGGGAAACATTTTTGGATAGCAAAGAGTTTTTGGTTCATGGTAAATTTAAGTTCCATAGTAAATTCTTCATCACTGTGCTCATTCATGAGATAGCTTTTTCTAACACATTCTTTTAAATGAAGTATGGTGTCTGAGTTATATTAGATTTTAAATGTTGAAAAAAATTTTGAAGCTATTTTGAGCTCAATTGTTTCAGTTAAGACAAAGCTATACTAAAATGTGTAGGTTTTTGCAACCTAAAAATTCATCAGTGCTTAGAAACCTGTGAAATTGATTGTAGCCGTTACTTGCTTGATTGCTTTTCTTTTTCAAAAACAGTAGCTTTTAAGTTTTGTTAAGCTAATAAGAGAGAGGTATAGTAATTATGTACTTTTTATTATAACTATAATATGTGCTTATTTCAGGGATTATATTATTCCTACTTTAAGACTATTGTGGAAGCACCCTCATTTTTGAATGGAGTATGGATGATTATGAATGATAAGCTGACTGAATACCCCCTTGTTATTAATACATTAAAAAGGTTCAATCTTTACCCTGAGGTAAGTTGCTTTTTCAACTCTGATTTTCTTACTTTTTAAAAAAGTGTGATTTGTATTAAATGCTACTTCTAAACATAAAGCATGATTCAATACATTAAATTTATTGTCGTTTTAAAAAGAAAATATATGTCTTCTCTTAGAAAGGAATGTGAAAAAAATCATTATTAATTTTGAAGTGCTTTAACTGATTCTGTGGGAACTATTATTATGATTCATGGTTTAGAAAATGTGAGCATTATCTGTATTTGGTGTCCCTGTAGGGATTATTGCAAGGGAGTATCATACTTTTATAAGTCATTTGCCAAATAGTGTTTCTTCCCTGTCTGGGATTCCTTCTTTAATTGGATGTACTTTCTCGGGAGGGAGGGCACCCATGAGGCAAGAGAGGAAGGCAGTGACGTCAGTAACTTTGGGGGCCTCTTCTGTACATCCCTGCCTTCATTTGACGCACCCTAGGCATTCTCCAGGGCTGAGCCAGGGTCGCCTTCCTCCGGGCTACCCTCCTGGACTTGGAGGCTCTCCAGCAGAGCTCGCGGCCCCCCGTGCGCCCCCTTCTTGCATGACGCTGCTGCTGGGCATGGCCGATGCCAGGGCCATGGCTCTCTGTCTCTGCAGGGGTCCCAGGCCCTGCCTCAGGACCAGCACTTACTGGGGCTGTCAGTCGTTTCCCATTGAGTGAAAGGAGGACCTAAACTTACAGATCAATGAGTCTGATTGATTAACGAGAAGCTAGAGACCAATGAGTAACCACCAAGGTTCAGTGTTTTCCTACCAATGTGCTGATTATTATTGGGTGCTTCTATAACCATGTCCACGTTTACTTTTACAGAAGTAGGATCACACAAGAAAAATGCCATCACATGGCACGTATTTTTTTAAATAAGTGCCTTTTGTATTTTGACTATTTATAACCATCTTCTTATGTCATCTTTTCTTCCATAGCATCATTTTTAATGGCTATGTATACAATGTACCATCGTTTATTTAGTTTATAATTTATGAAAATTCTGCTTGTTTTCAACCTTTTAAAATATTCTAAAGCTTCATCTTTGAAGTTAAGTCTTTACGTATATTCTTATTTTTTTATGCTATAAACTTGTTGATACAAAACTTTATTTCAGGAGAATATATACTTTAATGATTCTGGGACATGTTGCCAAAATGCTTTCCAGATAATTTACACCAACTGAAATTTCTACCAGCAGTGTTTCTGAAAATACTGGTTTACCTTAACCCTTGCTAATTTGATTAACCCTTTGTGCACTCGCTATATCTCTCTGTGTGTGTCATTCAATGCTATTTATAAAAAACTGCATTTCAATTTTAAAAATAATTGCCTGTTCATGCCCTTTGTTTATATTTCCATTGAAATTTTATAAGAGCTCATTTATTATATGGCAGATATTAGTACTGTGTTACAGATAAAGCATTTTCCCCCAACTTTTTGTTTGCCTTTTAGCTTTGTGTACGATGTATTTGTACTTTTTTCTGTATAGAAATATTGTATCTATGGATATTTTTAATTTATGGTTTTTATTTTATTCATATATATATAAAACATCTTCATTCTTTCTAGTTGTTAAAATTATGCTTTTGATATTTACATGTTTAATTTATCGGGAATTTGTTTTGGGGTAGTGTAGGGTAGGAATCTAATTCTCTATTTTTTCAAAATGGTCTTCTGCATAACCTAACACTTTGATGAGCGGTCCATCTTCTCACTGATTTGGAAGAGTGTTCATTATTGCATACATCATCGTTGTATGGATACGCGCCTGTCTGCTTTTGGACCTTGTGTTTAGTATTGCCTTAGGCTGGGGTCCTCTCAAGCAGGCTTTGAGTTGGAGATTTCCGTGCTGAAAATGTACAGGGAGGTACCCTTGGGGTAAATGCCTGAAGGGGGAAGAAGGAGGCCTGATAAGGCCTGAATTGCTGGCTGTGATGCGGCACAGCCAGAGATTCAGCCAATCGCATGGGAGCGCTGGAGCTGGGATGGCTCCGCACAGTTGTCCTACCTTGAGGCTGGGGCCCTGGTCTTCACATCCCTCCTTGTTGACTAGGCAGACAGAGGATGCGGTTGTCCTTGGTAGCGGGTGTGACCTGTAATGCATCTATCCTCTTCAGCAGAGGGTAGTTCCCTGCGAGGGACTCAGCTGGGAGCTGTCAGCTACCAGCCCTCCCAGCTGCTGCGGGAATGAGTGGTTCAGCCCTGAAGGGGGCCTGGGTGGCAGGCAGGCTCCCTACCACCTTCCCCACGGTTACTTCGCTCCGTCTGGCTAGGCTTGTGCCAGTGCTGTACTATTTTAATTGTTGTAAGTGATGCATTTTAATATCTGTTAGGACCTTCTTTTTAGTTACCTCTTTTTTGTTATTCTTCTAGGCAACAGTTCTAGCCAGACACTTGGGATTTTAATTAGTATTTTATGTATGAATTAATTTGAGAGAGAACTTGCATCTTGAAAAATTAGATTTATTCAGGAAGACATAGTATCTTTGTATTTGTTCAAATCTTTTATGTTCCTCAGTAGAGTTTTGCCATACATTTTGCGTGTTTCTGATTACATTTTATACCCGCTCCTGGGCGAACAGTTGAGGACTGACCAGTGCAGAACCTGTGTAGGGGATTGTGAGGCCCATCTTCCTAGATTTCAAGTGGATGGTACTAGAAGGGAAAATGTGATAATTATCAGACAGCTTAAAAATATTCCAGTAATGAAACTGTCAAGGATAATATCTTTTCTCATAATGTCTCTATTTTTAAAAAATTAGGTAATCTTGGCCAGCTGGTACAGGATATATACCAAAATAATGGACTTGATTGGCATTCAGACCAAGATATGTTGGACGGTCACCAGAGGAGAAGGACTCAGTCCAATTGAAAGCTGTGAAGGCAAGTTCTTTGCGATATTGTCCAGTTGTCTGTTGTAGTGTAGTAGTCACCCCAGACTTACGGTAGGAACAACCACCATTTTATTGTGCTCGTGGGTTCTGCAAGCCAGGAATGTGGGCAGAGCACAGCGGGCCGGCTTGTGTCCGTGATGTTAGGGGCCTCGGCTGGGCTCAGGTGGCCGTGGCCGGGGGACTGGGATCAACTGGAGGCCACTACACTTACAGTCAGGCTCCTGGGCTAGGGTGACTGCGAGGCGGGGCTCAGCTGGACTCTCAGCTGGGACACCTGCATTCGCTTTCCATGCAGCGTGGGCTTTTGTGTAGCATGGTACCCCAGTGTCCGGCTTTTCCTGCAGTAGCTCAGAGATCCAAGCTGGACATCACATGGCCACTTATGACCCAGCCGCAGAAGTCACATAATATGGCTTCTGCCACACTCTGTTGAAGCAGTCGCAAGCCCAACGAGACCCCATACTTCTACGGGAAAAGTGCCTGGGAACTTGCAGCCTGAGTTAAGCCCACACAGCTACTACCCACTTCCATCTATGTCCCGTGACGGTGTCGTGTGTGTGTGTGTGTGTGTGTGAGAACCAAGGCAACTGTTTAATATATTGGGCAACCATTTTCAAAATAAGCACATTTTAATGTTAATTGCCAGACACTTAAAGTCATTAATAAAACATACGTTTTGTTTACTTTTAAAGGATTGGGAGATCCTGCTTGCTTTTATGTTGCTGTGATTTTTATTTTAAATGGACTCATGATGGCATTATTCTTCATATATGGCACATATTTAAGGTAAGACTGTTAAATTGAGAATATTTTAGTATGTGTTTATAATAGTATATACTAGAATAATATAAATAGTGAGATTATTGTTAACTTTTGGTTTGGTTTTATAACAGTGTCATTTGTAATACGTCTACTTGTAGACATAAAATCACTTCCCAGTTGGATGATTTCACCATTGTCATGGCCAGCCGAACTGAAAGTAATTTTAGAGGCTTAAATAGAGCATGGCGGAGATATTTGATAAATTTTAAATATTCATAGGCATTTGAGCATCAGCAATATATATTGTTTACATAAAATGTGAAGGCAAGGACCACTCATAATGGCTTTTACTCTGCTAATGTTAGAACAGAAATATGTTTTATGCAGATATTTACTATTTTACCTGATTTACTTCATAATTGAGCAACATTTCTAAAATGAAAAGATTGACAAATTTTCTAAGCGTTTTTATATTTATTTATTTCTCTTTCTTTTTTTTTACAATCTGCCACACTGTATACTTGTTACCGTGAGAGCATCTTTAAATTTTCTTTTTACTGCTCGCTGATTCTCTGTAGTAGAGAAGTATGAGCATAGGTCTGTCATTTTCACTTTGGTTTAATGAGTTTGAATCCGCTGTTCTCCCATTCTCTTTGCTTTGGAAGTGTGGCATTTTCATTTTAGTATGTCTAAGATGCGTCGAGTTCTTAGCTCAGTGTTTGAGTCTGTAGCAATTACTCGATAAGCATTTATCAAATGAGGTAGCTGTTAGATCAGTTTAAAATATATTTGCATATAGATTTAAAATAACTTTGATGCTGCTATTTCTGACTTAGCTCTAAGAAAGGTCTTTTAATTATTTAATTGGGAGAGATTGAAATGAAAACGAGTGATTAAAAGATGATGTGACAGTTTTTGTTTTTGAAACAAGACACACAGAAATAACTTCACCAAAAGTATATGGTAATCAGGAGAAGAGGCCGACCCGAGGGAAAGCAAGGCCAGTGTGCCTCGTATCATGATGAGCAAAAGGAAGAGAGACTTGGGGGCATTTATTCATTTTGCTGAGTACCACCCATCCGTCTCACGGGCAGCTTCATTACATTTGGGAGATCCAATTTTAAGGAAGAGAAGTTAAAATATGGAACGTGACATTATTGCTAAATTGCTAATCTACAGTTATGCCACTTTTTTCATTGAAAGAATTCCTATACGCTTATTAAAGTCATCATTCAGCATCATTTTCTTAAAATGGCTGTTATAACCATCATTTCAAAGGCTGCAAGTATCGTATCTGCAGCAGAGAATGTCCGTAGATCTCTGGCTAGCCTAGGCTGTCATAATCAGACTGGAGGACAGAAAAGCTGTGTGGAAACTCTAAATCGTGGGTGGAACCTGTTAACATTGAGTTTTCATATAATTTGAATAAATGATGTGGGAGGAACTTAAGAGTTACTGCCAGTTCTTTAGTTTCCTTTTAGATATAAAAGAAAATAGAATGTAACGGAGGTCTTTCAGGGTTGTAACAGGGAGGTGAAGTGTTTGTCAGGTTAACTGAGATGGAAGATAACATAGAAGAATTTTTAAGAAGTGATCGGGTAGGAAAGAGAAGGCCTGAGTGAGTTAGGAGCCACTGTCTTCTGTGTGAGACTAGAACACGGTTCATTTGCAAGGCGCCAGAAGAATGCCTGCCTTCACAAAATATTTTTTAATTGAATGAAACGAATGAATAAATTATGGAATAGAAAAACTTAGCTCATGACTGCCATCTGTGAAAAGCACAATAATGATATATTATTATCTATGCCGTATACTTTATTGGCATTTACCAATTTAGGACGTACTTTTCCATTGGACTCGTTCAAAGGTTTTCCACTGCAGATCCTGCCCTTCCCTTCAGACTCTTCGTTTGTTGAAGTAGTGCACGGATAGCAGTTATTATGTGCCCAGCTCTAGTCTAAGCTCGACAGTCGTAAACTCATTTAACCCTTAGCGTTAGCTCTGGGAAGTAGGTTAACCCTTTTGCAGATGAGGGGACTGAGGCGCAAGAACCTTAAAGAACTCCCAGGGCCTCGTAGCCAGTCAGCTGCGGGGTTGGGATTTGAACGCAGACTCCAGCGTGTGCGCTTTCAGCTGCCGTGTTCTGCTGTCTTTGTGGATGCACTCGAAATAGTCTTTCTAATAGCAATTCAATTATTTGCAGTTTGAATTAATAAGTTAATATGTATTTAAAGGTACCGAGTAATGCAGAAAAAGCTGTTTATTCCATTTCCAGAGAGGGTGTTATTTACATTTCATACAAAAGTTTCAGAAAAACATTTCAAAAGAGCATGACACTTAGAAGGATCTAGATTTTATTCTCTTTTCTGGAATCGTTCGTTTCCTGAAGGTTCTGAGGCTGCTGGGATTTTGCTGGTCGTGTGCTCGTACTTCTGTAGGCGTGGTTCACTTCACTCTTTCTCATGTTGCCATTTATCAGGATCCCGTTTTGCTCCATTTTTAGTTCTCATACATGTATGTGATTTTGTAATCATTCTAATAGTTTCTTCATCAGTTAGTTTTTCTTAGAATCATTTCGTTGCTGCTGTATAAATTGGAATGAAAGGTAACCTGGCGTGTGTGTGTGTGCACACACGTGCGTGCGTGCGTGCGCGCGCGTGCGTGCATGTGTGCTGGGGGTGAACCCAGGCTCCTTTCATCTCGTAGCTCCTTCGTTCACCAGACTCAGCTTCCTTCGCATACGGTCAGCAGACAGGAAAGGGGAGAGTCGAGGAGACACGTCTGATTCTTAACCTCCTCAGTGCAGAAGTGACACCGGGTCCCAGTGACAATTCTGCACTCCCCTGCACCTTGTCCGTGGACACTCGTATGGTTGAGGGCCGGAGTCCACTCACCGAGGCACGGCCCTGTGTTCCCTGTCCCTCTCTCCCGTCCCCTCTGATGTAAAGTTTCTGAGAAAACGTTTTAACGTTTTGGTTTTTGTTTAATCACCGTGGCCAGTCCGATCTGCCTCTGGTCTTTTCCTCTTTAGAACACGCACCTTTCCCTGTCTGTCTGCATCAGTTCTCCGTCGCTGCTCCGCCTCGGTGAGGAAACCGCTGTCCCTGTGCAGACGCAGCGCATCGTCAGGGTGTCTGTCCCTCCGTACAGAGCGTCCACCCTCCGATTTCCTGTTTCTGTTTCCGTGGTCATTACAGGTTCACAGTGGCTTCTCTGATACCAGAAAGAAGTTTTAAAAATCCTTTATTTCTAGATATGTTTTAGAAGCCCCGACGTCCTGGAAGATCAGTCTCTGTGCCACACCTCCCTTGTAACTTTGCTTCCTGTCCCCTTTCTGTCCTGCGTGAACGGTCGTAGTTAATAGAACCAGTTTTCCTACTCTTTCTTCTCATGGTCCCACCTGAGCTACCTGTGAAGTGACTCGGTGTTCTTTTTAGGGTCTGTGACAGTAAATAGATCAGCTTTTCATATGAATTCTTTACTCCTCCCCTGTATCCCACCTGTTTTAAGGAAAAGTTGAATTTCCTATTCTTTCTGCCAATTTTGCTTCCATTATTTTGACTTTTTTTTGTTGTTTATCATGTAAAAATTGAATCTTTACTGTTTTTGTGGGCCAGATTTTTTGGCTACAAATGTGTCTTAAATAGGCTGTGGCTCACACCAGCTCAAACTTTTCCACCCTCATGTTTTGTTTTTCTTTGGAATGTTCTATTGACTGGGCCTGCCGGCACGTCTTTAATCTAACAGTCGTGTATGAATATTTAAAAGATAAGTATTTGTTTTCAGTACGTCTAAATCAATGACAGTTATTGGTTGTATAAGATATACAACCAAGATATACAAGATAAGATATACGTATAAGATACTGGTGTCTTTATTCCAAAACCTGCTTCTTTTTATGTCACTGCATCGGTAACTGACACTTTGACCTCACTGCTGCCCAGGTCTGACCCCTAGAATTTTCGTGACTTTCCCTTCAGTTACTTTTGAAACCCAGCTACTCGCAAAACCCCGCTGGCTTCTTTCTTTGGAGTATCTCTGGCCTCCTTCACATCTCTCTTCGCACCTGCAGGATTTAACAAAGGCTCCAGGAGCAGTGTCCGGAGGTGACAGTAGAGGCTGTGAGCTTTACAGGAGTGTGCTGGAGCCATGAGGGGAGCATTTTCTCAGGAGAGTGACATTTCAGGAAAACAAGACATCTGGGCAGAGCCTGAGGGTGTGGGGAGGAAGTCGTCCTCCACGGAATGGAGAATCTGGGGGGGGGCACAGTGACAAGTGTAGGTGGGAGTCGGGATGTGGTGATCAGATTACAGCAGAGGCTGGACATGGCATTGATGCTCAGCAGGAGCCTACGTGTGGGGCCAGTGACCAAGGGTCAACAGGGATGGTTGTGACATGACGGTGAGGAGTATTTGACTGCAAGTTTCAAAAACAAAATAAAAAGACTGCCAGCAGCCTTTGATTTGAATAGTTTTAATGTTTCCTTTTATGTTTTCATTTATCCCTCCGATACCTTTTGACTCTCTGGCTCTCTGCCATGGGTGAAACAGTGCTGGACACTCTGGCTGCTGAAGAACCAGTCACTTCGCCAGCTACTATAGAAAGAATTCTGTTTCCCTCCCTGGTAGACGAAGATTAAATTAAAGCCGTTAATCAGTTGTTTGCAGCAGACTGTAAGGCTAAGCTGATAACTTTTCTCAGCCTTCCCGACCCTCATTCTCTTCCTCATGTTGACCTTCTGGTCCTTTCCTTAGTGCCCCAGTGCCCTGCCCATCAGCTCAGGGGAGGGCGGTCGGCTCCCAGCCAAGCCTGCTGGGCTTTCTCCAGCCAGCCAGCAGGTGCTGAGGCCTCACGTCTCAAACTTGAGGCTGCAACTCTCTCTCAGTTTAGTGGTTTCCAAGTTATTCTCTCATATTCTGTTTCTTAAGCATTTACACAATGTAAAAACTAACTCCAGGAGTTATTTAATGTTATTTCGAATGAACTAGGATTACTTTTTTTTTTCTCTTTGAATGTTGAACTTAGCACGTTTCATCATTCTTTGGTAAATAGGGGGAAAAGCCTCATTGATTAATGAAGCCTCCCAAAATGTGATTGAATCCATGGCACTTAATGATGTAGGGAAGAAGAAAATTATAAAGTTATAAATTGTCAGTATTTTTAAGATCTTATCTCCTCATTTTATATCTAAGGAAATTGAAGCCCAAAGGGTAAATGAAACATATGAGTAAATGTGGTAAATGTCTAGGAAGCTTAGAATGTTTTAAAATTTGCATAATAGGAACTTTCATATTTTCTGATAGTTGGTAGTAATATTTCAGAATATAATATTCAGAAAGAACTATTTCTTTTTAACCACTAGGGAATGCTGAAATATCAACTGCTCAACTGTAATGGAAAAAAATTAATTTCAAGTATTCCGATGACTACATTTTTTCTGTTCAGCAAAATAAGATGACCTCTGTGATAGTCTCTAAGGATCAGAGGGGTGGGGTAAACACTGGGGACACTATTGTAGAGTTGTCGCCAGTCACATCATTTCATAGTGATTATAATTCAGAGCATTCCTTGTAGATAAACAAAACACGCAAGCGTACCAGAAAATCTGCCTCCCTTTTTGGTTAATAGGTATCAAATATTACATAGTATGCTGGTCCATAACCTGTATTACGGTAGAACACTGTGTAAGTTTGAAGTAGGGAAGACCCTCACAGACAAGACAGGAAATGCAGAAGAAATAAAAACATTGACATTTAACTGCATAATATTAGCTACGTAAAATTTAAAAATTCTTCCTGACAGAATACACCATAAATTATATCAAAAGACTTTGTCACGCATATAATAGTCAAAGAATAGATATCCACAATCTTTCAAGAGGGATACAGACAATCCAGACAATCCAATGGAAGAATGGACAAGAATGTGAGCAGGCAATTCACAGAAGAGAAAATGCACATTGTCTAAAAAAAAACAAAAACAAAAATAACCCCACTAAAAATGATGATCTGTACAAGTAGGCAGGACATACAAATTATAATAACGGTGAGACAAAAATTTCCACCTATCCGAAGGGCAAATGTAGAAGGGTCTGGGCCCATCAGGTGCTGTGTTCTAAACCCTGTACATTGTGGTGGGGGTGTGGACTGGGTTTGCTGGAAAGTTCACGTTCTTTGACTTGGCAGTCTCTCGGGTCCGGCCAATGGAAATAAAAGCACCACTATTCATATGTACAAGGATGTTTATTTTAACTTTTTTTTTTTTTTTTTTACTATTATAACTAGGAATTGAAAAATATCTGTTATGTCCAATAACAGAGAAAAGGCTGAACAAATTGCAGTGTTTATACTATGTAATATTTGATACCTATTGAAAAGAGTGCCTTGGGTTACATGTATTGATTAGGAATAGTCTTCATGATAGATGAGTTAGAAAAGGAACAAATTTCAGAGGGATATTAATATGATTGCATTAAAATGTATGTTTGCGTGGGTTGGAGAAAGATTTGGAAGGGTGGACACGCAGATGTTATTACTGGCTGTCTGAGGTGAATGGGATTGGGGGGAGGGTGTCAAGGAGGAAAACATTTTTTTAAAATATGAAGACTTGTGTACTTTTTCTCTTGTTAGGATAAGTTCGAAATATTAAAATAAATGTCTGTCTGTCTGTCTATCTAATTTTTTCTTTAAACTTCAGCTAATTCTTAACCTTTCTTCTGTCTCGTCCCCTGCACTGAAAACTGGAGTTTGCTCGTTTGCTGGTCTGTGTCTGTTCTTGGCCTGTGCTGTACCACTTTCTAGCAACTTTATCTGTCACTTATTTCTGCGACCCATCACTTCAGCTGCTTCCTGGCCAGTTTCTTTGCCTCTTTATATCCCATTTGTGCCAGTCCTGGTCAATAACCAGTGGGGGAAAATCACACAGTCCTGCCATTAGTGTCCCTGTGAATTTGTGGTCTTGAACTTCAGTTGATCCTTTAAAGACAGCTCTGCGGCCCTTCTGTCTCCCCTCCCTAGCTCTCTCTTTAAATGCAAGCGGTATTTCAAGCCTTTAGCACTGCCACCTCTTCTCCTGAGCCGCCAGTGGCCATGTCCCCGCTCTGAGGAAACGCTCACCTCCACAGATCCTGCAGGCTCCCCCTTCCTCTGTGCCAAAGCTGACCGGCCCTCTGTGCTGATATTTGCATTGTATTTCAAATATTTTGAAAACATAAGAAAGATAAATAAGGGTAAAGAAGGTCAAATCTATGGTGACAAAAGGAGATGTGACTTTGGGTGGTGAGCACACATGGAATGCAAGATCATGTATTATACAAGCGTACACTTGAAAGCTACGTAATTTTATTAACCAGTGTCACCCCAATAAAGTTAATAAAAAACCTTTAGCTATAACCTATTGTTTTCCAGCATCTTCTGTAGAAAGGCAGCTTGGGGATGGCATGTGGTATTTTCCAACTTTAGGACTATTAAGCCCTTTTCTGTACTTGCCTTCTTTTCCTGAATGGATGTCACGTGTCCCGGGAAAACAGTGTGCACAGTGCTGAAGGACACAAATAAATCCTGGCACTGAAGAATAAAAAAAGAAAGATCGGGTTGCACGTGCACAGTACCATGACTTTCAACAGTTTCTTCTTCCCTGTCCGTCTGTGTGTTTTTCTGTTCATTTTGAAGATGGAAATGATTTTTAAAAAATGAAACTTGTTTTGACTAACGATACTTCAGAAGACATAAGCTATTTTGTAAGTAAGCATAGTAGAGTCCTAGTGTGGCTAAAACTTTTTTAGTAGTGGACGGTTGTCATGTTATGTGATTTCAATGTTTTACTAAGATCGACCTGGATTTCTATTGTTTTTGAGTTTCATTGTAATGTCTTCTCTTCCAGTGGCAGCCGACTAGGGGGCCTGGTTACAGTGCTGTGCTTCTTTTTCAATCATGGAGAGGTAAGTAGTCAACAGGTGTTTATTTTCAAAATCTTTATGGGATTTTACTTCTAGAAATACAACTTTCTTCTTTAGGTAGTCAAATATTTCTTTAAAAATTTTAGGAGCTTTTACTTATAGAAATACAGGTTTCTTTTTAAAAGTTAATTTCTTTAAAATCTGTGGCAGCATTCTTTAAGTGTTTGATCTTATTTTGATTCAAAATTTAAACACTGGCATTTGTTTGAACTTTTCAGGATCATTGTATCTTTTATGTGATATATCTCTTAGTGATTTGAACAAGTAGCGGGTCTATATCAATTCTTTATAGAATTTAAAACCGAAAGCTCACATTTTAGTTGTAATAGACATAAGCCAGCCATGGATATAGTTAATTCCCTTGTGTTGGGATAACTTTTCATTGAGGAGCTATATCATGCCTATTTTAATGTATTTATATTAAACTTTGATACGCTTTTCATCATCCTTTGTAGAATATTTTGTTATAAATTTGCATGCACCGAAGGCCTTTCTGAGATGAGCAGCACCGTAAACAGCGTAGACTCCAGATCTAGGAAACTGTGTCCAAATCCTGGCTGTGCCATTTAGTGGCCATGTGACCTGGGCCGATGGTTTAATCTGATGATGTTACCGGTCTCGTGGGATTATTGGGCATGTTACACGAACTCCTACGTGTAAAGTGCCTAGAACAATGTTTGACACATAGTAACTGCTACGTAATTGTTGTTTGTATTATTATTATTACTATTAATAATAATAATTTAGATTACATTCTAACATAAATTCAAGGTGCTGGTGAAATCTTTCCATTAAATTAATCAGAGTTGTAAATGAGTTTCTAGTAATGTATCTCTGTCCAGTTTTCTTTCATGGTAAGTAGGTGCTGTATGAGGGGAAAAGGAAGGTCAGCTGCTTTGCGTGTTTATACACTAGGTGTCTACAGTATTCGAATGTGCACATGCTACAAAGCTCTAAGAGGAGTCAAAACAAACCTTACCAGTGGAGTCAAGCTTGAACTTTCTTTATTATTCAGCAGGTTACCAATAGATGTTGAACTAAATATTAACATGCTTAGGATTGAGAGTCATGGAAATTTAAAGCTAGAGTAGCCTAATAGATTATAGCATTCAACAAATTATTGTTCTATAACATCAATTAATTATGAATTTTGAGCAAGAAAAAAAGTTATTTGACTCTTCTTGACTGTATATGCTGCTCAGTGTCAGTGTAGACCGTGAAATGTGTAGAACGACTTAAGAAACACGAAATAACCATTTAACAGTGGAAGAAGGGAGCATCGCATGTTCACGTGAAATGCTGGAGAGAGGGGTCATTGAAGCTTTGAGGCCAAGGCTGAGTTTCTGTCTGCAGAGCGGGAAGGTCCACTGCGCGGCTGCCCTTAGCGTCAGGGGTCAGTGATCCCCGGTCTCAGAGTTTCGATACTCATGGAGCACGAGCATTATTCCTTACAAAGTCTTTTTAGTTTTTAACAATGAAATTCATACTAGTTATTTTATTTTTTCAGGTCGGTAGATTTTTAAAAATATTTTTCAGCTATTTGGTATACTTAAACATGCTTAGACATCATTTTCTACTTATAAGGTAAAATAAATGTGATTGAAATTTGAATTGCAGCTTTACTGAAATAGTCAAGTAGATAATTGTACTTAAATCAGTAACTATAGCTTTAGCGTAGAAAAATGACCATTTTGTGTAGTGACGTATATTAAAATTGAGACCATAAACTGAAGTTTTGGGGAAAAGTGGTGAGAACTCAAGTAACTGAAAACTATTATAATTTTGTATTTATTTTGTTTTTCAGGTTGTGAGATTTTCAGACTTTTTTTTTCTGACTTTTAAAAGTGTTGCCTAAAGTATATAATTTTTATATGGGGGAAACATCTTCTCTGGTGGTACCTACTCTTGCATTTAGTGAACTTTTCTACATTGTCACAGTGTTTTGCTTACGGTGATTGCTGGCGGGTTGCTAATTGGTACCCTTCTTTCAAAGAAGAGTTATTTTAATCATGTGAGTGAATAGTTTAGGTGCCAAAAAATATTTGTGAATTATTCCTTGCTTTTAAGTTCTATTTCCATTATTTAGTTTCTTCTGTACTTGAGTCTAAGATAGTAAATGACATACATTTAAAGATATTTTTTCTCTCAGATAGTTTTTCAAGGGAAAATTTTTGCCTTAATGAAGGAATTACAAAATGTGTAGTATAAAAGAATTAAGTTATTTAAAATAGAAATTTAAACCCTTCAAATCTGAAATATGTGAGTGCAGTAAAGGAGCTATTAATTGCTCATAGTAATGATTGATAATATTGAGGTTATACATTTCATAATAAAATTATGCAGATGTTCTCACTTATCTAGGTTTTTTATTAAATGTTGATTCCCTCCCTCTTCAGAATTATTGCTAAGATGAAAGCTAACAGTTTTGCTCTGACTTTAAAATATTTCATTCTGAGATGTTTGCAGCATGGTTGATGCCGCAGGATTTTTAGTGTGCTGACTGAAAAGCATGTAGATGAGTATGTAAAAATAAAAACCTAAATATAATAATTTCCCCACTTTGAATGTTAAAAATTCATTATGTATGAAATAGGTTTGTTTTGCTTTTTCACGATGAGATTAAAAATTATTACCAAGCATGACTGACGGTGTTTTATATAAAACGTGTTCATAGATATAAAATCCGCCCCTTCCTTTTTTGAATCCAAAGTAATTTAAAGTATATAAAGGATTGCTTTAAAGGCATATCTAATTAACCTTTTTTATTACCCGTAACGTATTTCTGATCCATATTAATTTCTTAAATATATTTTAACTGAACTGAGATGAAAAATATAAATGTACACATTCTTAATGATTTATTGTCATAGTTTTGTCATTTATATAAGGTTTGGAAAGGAATTCTCAGAACACTTTGAAAACAGTCTCATTAATCCTTGTAATATTCTTGTATGATCGATAAGTAGTAAATAATATTCTCATATGCATTAAAATGGAAGCACCGAAAGGTTAAGTGTGGGGCTCCAGGTTGCTAAGCAGGGAGAGGATTCTAAATTTTCCAGCTAACCAGTAATCTCTCTACAGACTTCTCTCAACACAAATAATTCTGAGATAGGGTATACGGATTTCAGTGACAACACCGCAGTTTCTCTTTTGTAACTGAAAAGTCCAGAGATCTTTCTTTGCCAATTTGTGGGATTTTTTTTCTTTTCCCTTTTTCCCTCTCTCCCTTCTCCCTTCACTTTCTCGTGCTGGTAACGTTTGGCCAGGACATTTATTCTGCGTCTTCCATTTTTTTCAACTCAGTTAATGTATGCTGCAGACCTACTGAATGCCAGGTACTTGTAGATGCCTGGCATGCGTCAGTTGTTAAAACAAAGATCCCTGCCTTTGTGGGTAACCGTGTGAAGGTGGGGTGATCTTCCACTCCAGGTGGGAGAGTTCTGGCCTGTTGGAGGAGTAGCCAGGAGGCCATTTTGACAGGAGCACAGAGCGGCAGGGAGGAGGCCAGGCAGTCAACAGCGGGAGACGGACGGGGCTGATTCTGTGGTCCTGGTCGGTCATTGTGAGGTTCATTTGGAGCAGACGGAAGGGCCACTGGAGGATTATATGCAGAAGAGTGACATGATTTAAATGTTTTTTGCATTAATTTGGAAAATAATATAAGTGCCAGATGCATTATGTATTCAGGCTGTTGAGTGGTATGCCTGTGGATTTGTAAATTGACATTAAACTTACCTGAACTCCCAAAGTCCATAAAAAAAAGAATGTGCTCATCTTTGTTGAGAATGAACCTGTGGATGGAGATTTGAAAACCAGCCTATAATTTAGTAGTGAACCAGCCTGAAGTGTCCTTCCCGACCCGACCCCTACTGGATCTCCCCACTCTCCAGACTGTTTTCTTTGCTTCAGACCTATTGTCCTTCCTTCCTTCGTGTTCTCAGGAAGGACTGGCCTGTTTCTTTCCTCAGGGCCTTTGCACATGCTTTTTCTCCATGCCCTGCACACTTCCCACCCCTTCGTCTCCTAATCAGGGCCTGATTAAGTCCTCATCATCCTTGAAACTGGACATTTGTTTGGGTTTCAGCGGTGGTCATCATTTCTTCCTGCAAATCTGGGTCTTCATCTGGTATAATTTCTCTTCAACTTTACATACTTTATTTTTTGGTGTAAATCTGCCGCCTATCTCAAAATGTCCTTATTTCATCTTTATGGTTTGAAGTGTAGTTTTGCTGGAAGAGTTTGAAGTCGATAGCTTTCTCTTTCGGGTTTTAATGTATGTCATTCTTTGTCTTATGGCTTCCATTGTTTGATACAAAGTCAGCTGTCATTCTTCTTACTGTTACCTGAATGTAATGTCTCTCTTCTGTGGTGGCTTGACAACTCTCTTTTTAAATTTGATTTTATTGATTTGATGGTGATGAACTTAGATGTGGTCTTATTTGTATGTATCCTGCTTAAGATTCACTGAACATCTCTGTTTCACATTTTTTAGTTTTTGAAAAATTGTAGCAAATATCTTCTCTTCAAACATTTTGTCTTTTCTATTCTTGTATCTTTGAGGATTCCAATTCCATGTGTGTCCAACTTTTGATGTTATCCCATGGTTTTTTGACACTGTTTTCTATCTTTCTTTGCTTCACTTTGGATGTTTTCTCTTGCCGTGTCCCTGAGTTCACGGATAGGATATTCTGTACATTCGGCCTGCTATTGAGCCAGTCCAGTGAATTTTTCATTTTAGCTGTTATGAATTACAAATTTAGAATTTTACTTTTTTCCTAGAGCTTCCATTTCTCTGCTGAAAATTTCCATCTTTTCACCCATTCTACCCTTCTTTTTCTATAAAATTTAAAACTTAATTATTATAGTTATTTCAAAGTCCTTGTCTGCTATTTCCATTTGTGTTACCTGTAACTTGAATTCTGCTGACTAGACTTGACTTCTTAATTGTAATTCTGTATAGTCTTTAAAGTACCCCTGCCAGGCTTGACAGACATAAGGATTTCTTCTAGTGTGACTAGCTTAGTGGTAACATCAGATCGTTTATCTTTAAGCCAGTGCACTTTCTTTAAACCGAACGATGGACTTATTAATATATTCAGTCTACATGCAGAAAAATGATTGAGTATAGAAACTGGGATAGTCCATTAATTAACTTTAGGGTAAGCTTTTCAGAAAGATTGACATTTGACTATTTGTTATTTTATTTGATCCCCTCTGCCACTTTTATATATTGTGCAGCCCAGGGTAGTTTGGGCAAAGAATTGCAAAAGAAAATGGAAGACTCCTTTCTAGCAGCCCTGCGAATAAAAATATTAACGTCGATGACTACGAAGAGTTTTGAAGTCTCAGCTGGTTTTGCCGAAATTTGTGTGAAAGAAGACGAAGTCTAGTCAGTTTACAGAACCAGTTAGAACGTAATGTTTTTAATTTTGGCAGAATGTGATGTAGCTGGCACGTTCCCCGCTTCCCTTCTAGGCTAGAGTCGACGTTTTCGGCAGTTCGCTGTTGACAATTCACGATGTTAATAGCTCACAAGATCTTATGCCGTGTGCGCCTCCCTCTCCGATGTTTCTCACTTTCCAGTGTGGCTGTTGGTGGAAAACCTAGCAGCTTGTTTTGTAACACACCATTTAAATTATGGGTGGAAAAAAACCCTTCTTTTTGTACTTATAAATAGCTCTCACTCGGTATGTCTTACTTAACAGTTTTGACAGATGTTGTAACTGTGAACTCTTTTCAGTGCACCCGTGTGATGTGGACGCCCCCTCTCCGGGAGAGCTTCTCATACCCGTTCCTTGTACTTCAGATGTTGCTTGTGACTCATATTCTCAGGTAGCTTTTGACTTACCCTTGGTGGTGGTTTGTTCGTTTGTTTTGCGTTGAATAACTTGAGCTAGAATTTTTAAGCTTTCATAATAAAAACTATGAATGTAATAAAATAATTAACATGCAAGGTTAAATTCATAAAGGTAATTTCAGAGTGTAATTTAAGAGTGTGTTTACTACGAAAAGCATTTTCGTAATCTGCCCTCTAGTCTTCTTCCTTTTTCTCGGTGGTCCACAGATGCTGCCCGAGGAGCAGCACATCTGCGTCCCCTTCTGCCATTTCCACTTTCCCATCATTTCCTGCGACCACCACCGTCTCCCCAAAAATAGGCAGAAAGAAGGGGGGGAGCCGGTGGCAGTAGAGTGTATCCTAGAAGAAAGATGAAGCACTTTGAAGAACAGTTGATAGCAGAACTGGTCAGACAGAGCAGCACACGTAACTCTTCGTCCTCCCTTGGCTTAGCTTCCCTGAGAAGCAGACAGCGGGGTAGAAAGAAACCACGTCAGTGGTTCCCGGTCGTCCCTGGAAGTCCCAGGTCCCCGTCTCTGTCGCTCGGCTCGCGCCGCGCCGGTCACGCCGGCCACGCCGGCCACGCCGGCACCAGTTGCAGTTCCTCTGCTTTCCTTCGTCCCTCACTCCCCCCAGTGCAGTTCGTACCCAGCTGCCAGATGCCTGTTAAATTCTGCTCAGAGGTCGTTGCCTCTCATCGTCCATACAAATCAAAATCGTGTTCAGGATTCAAAAGCAATAGAGAAATGCTTTATTTTAGACAGTGGCTTTCCACCTTTGAACTGTGCTCTTCAAGAAATAAACACATTTTACACTGGGACCCAGCATACCCGTTCCCGTGTGTACACAGACATCCGATTCAAGTTCCGTGGAATAGAACCCTTATGTAGGATGCAATCGTGTATTTTTGTTTTCACTCTACTTCATTAAAAATTGCGGGTTCTTAGCTCATGATTTTGTACCTCATTAATAGGTTACCTGGATTTTGAAAATGCTTGACTTAGGGGCAGGATAGAAAGATGGATTAGGATAGCACAGAGGGATGGCCTTAGAAAAAGGCATACTCAAGGAAATAAAAGCATTTTCTGGTGACCCTCAGCGCCCCAGGTAGGTTAATCTAAGGAGGGTGTCCTCCTCAGTCCAGCGTGCGTCCCTACGCCGTAACCGCAGTAGGTTGACACGTACTCTTCACCGCGTGAACATGCTAGGGACGTCGGGCCTTTGCACCAGCTCACTGACTGAGGAGACAGGTAGTTCTTAAAACTAACATGAAAAAGAAAACCACCTCACTCTCCAGAATATTCCCTAAATCAAAAGCCAGGACCGAAGCCAGACCTTTCCAGGTGGCTCTGGAGTGGCCTGTGCTGCTTTTCTCTTTGCCGTGTCCCCAAGTCCTCCACAGTCTCCCTCGGCTGTGTGGCCTGTAGTCTGAGTCCCTGCAGTACTTGTCTGCAGAATCCTTCGCACTTGGATATGCTGCTTTCTGTGATTCGTTTCACAGACATCCTCTGTCTCTCCAAATGAATCTTTTGGCTGGAGCATCTCATATATTTGATTATGATTCCACCAAAATATAGTTTGAAAAACTTCAGTGGATATGCTGGTCCAGATGCTCTCTCTCTGGCAGGCTTTGTTTGTTTTTACAGTAATAATGGGTATTTACTTTTCATAGAAAATTGTTGTAATTGAGAATCAGGAGGTACAATTTCTAACCCATTGGTTCATCTTACATCCGGTTTATGTTATAACGAGATCATGTTTAAAGATTCTGAGTTGCTGCAGTTTGGAGCTATGCTAGAATGTTTGGTGGTTAAATTTACCGATCTTTATTTGTCTTCTCAAGGGCTACAAAACTTTACAGAGGCAGCTTGATTGCACTCTGCATTTCCAATGTGTTTTTCATGCTTCCATGGCAGTTTGCTCAGTTTGTACTTCTTACTCAGGTAAGGGGCTTTAATTTATTTAAAGTGAATGAAGCTTGCTGTGTTTAATTATGTGAACTCATTTGTATAAAATTATAGAACTGAAATGTTATATGATTCTACGTCCTGAAGTGTTTTTTAGTTAATATTTTTAAACAAAGTTTGCAATAGGGAAATATACAAGATGTATTTGTTAGTGGGTGTTAATTATTTGTGTCCTAATTGAATACATTTATAGACCTCAATATATAAGTATGCTTATCTTTGTTCAGTATTTATTAGTGTGCTTAAAAGAGGACTGACTAGTGCTATACCCTTTAAGTATTTCTCTTAAGTTACTGGAGTATTCTCTTAATTAAAATGTATTTCTTTTCTGAATAGTGTTATACATTCTTCTACCTAGGATAAATATATGTAGGATAACATAGGATAAATAGCTAAACAGCTCATACTTTATATAACTCTACCACCAATCTGTAGCTTATTATCATCTTTCCATGTGCTCTTGTCTTTCTCTTCAAAGGTCTATAAAACAAGATAAAGCTAGCTTGTTGAGAGAGAGCAAACTTCGTGTTTATCTCTTTCTGCGCCACCCCTCCCCACACACTGCGTCTACGTCATTACGCTGGTCACGTGCATATTTGTATAAAGCATTTTAAGAGTTGCTTTTTAATGTTGTCTGAAAAGTCTTGCTTGAGAAATGAAGTCAGACGTGGATTTGAATCCTGATTCTGTTGACTAGTTTCTCAGCTTGGACAAACTGCTTGACTTTCCTTAGGGTCAGTTTCCTCGTCTATGAAGCAGCGAGGTTCGGAGCCTCCTTTTATGGGTTGTGTTAGGATGCTGTGAGGTAATGTACGTAGGATCCTTGGCACATTACCTGGCACGTAGCAAGGTGTCAGTAAGATTAGCTGCTTTTACCGTTATTTTTTTCAAAAAGACTCTGTTTGTACTTCATTTTTTCTTTGCTATTATCCCTTAGCCTCTTTTGTCTTCTTTAGTTTGATGACATTTCAGATGTTTCTGGTTTAAAATGTCCCTGAGAGTCACCCCTTAAGATTGTACCCTGTAGGCTGCTGCGTGTTGCTGGGACCCTGGGCTGGCAAGGGAGTGTCCCCACTGCTTCCAGTTTGTGGAGGTGCCTGCTTTGGGGGGCGATGGGGGCAGTTGTAGGGGTTGCATGGACCGAGGGGAGGAGGCTGTGCTTCTCTGTGGGGTTGATGTTGAATAACACACACACCCTCCACAGTTACTGTGTCACGTCAGCCACTCTTAAGCAGTGTGGGAAAGGGAAACCTTGATTTTCTTGCTAATGGTGTTGCAGTAAAATCAGCCCAGCGAAAAACCAAGCGCCACTAGGAGAGTTGGAGAACTCAGGTGTATTGTGCCGGCGGTCCTGGAGGAGCTAGCGCTCTGAACATCTGGGCCCCAAGCTCAAGGGTAACCTTACTTTTATAGGGCCAACAAGCAAAGGGGTTACATCTGTTATCTAGACAGAACAAGCAAAGGGGAGGGTGAGTCTTCAGTTGATCTCAAGGTCACTCTGCCCTTCAGCCCATGCGGCAGGCATGCCTACAGAAGCGGAACAAAGAGCTGATTACAAGGTAGCCATTTGAGTGGAAAATTCCTCTTCAGTGGGAAAATGTGTTGTAGATTGTTTGGCGATAAAACACTTGATGAACAGAACTTAAGTTATATGTTTAAGTGTTTAGCTGTTTGATAGTTTATGTCATGTTCGCCTAGTAGGAGAAGCATGGAATTTAATTTGAATTGCTTTCTCCATGAAGAACAATGTTTCTATATTTTACTAAGAGGTACACTTTCATCATTTAATCAGTTAATTCATCTAAATAACTCCAATACTCTACATGCACAATTTTCTTTAAAACTGTAAAGAAATGTAAAAATACCCTGAAATGAAAGTAGTTCTAATTTGAAATTTGATCAATTTGATTATAATTACCACTTGAATATTTGTATAAATCAAAGAGAACACTAATGGAGATACCTGTAAACAGTGACTAATCAGCAGAACTTAATGCATTTTTACACACGCATGCATTACACAATTATTTTTTGGGTTTAATGTACCTTTTCCAAGTATGTAGTAATTGTCATATGTTATAATTAAATTTTTCTGTTTTTCAGTTGGGCAAGGCACTTTGTAATTGTGCATGTTGACAGTAGAGCCACCCTGATGTTAAAATGAGTATCCTTTTGGATAATCCACAAAGTAGATTATTTTGCATGGTTAATTAAGAGAGCCATGTATGGAAGAGAAAAATCAACCAATATTTGCTGTATTAATATATTGACCATATTTAGTAATAAATTGGTAGATAAGAAGGGGACTAAAGAACTCACTTTCAAAATAAATATAAGCCAGTTTGAAATAACAATAAAGATAATCTTCATTTCTGTAGCTCTTCATTGTGTATATAATTTTTATTTTTAACTTTTTAAATTTCAGGTTGCATCATTATTCACAGTATATGTCGTGGGATACATTGATATATGCAAATTACGGAAGATCATTTATATACATATGGTAATGGTTTTTAAATTTCTTTTTTCCCCATTGAGTTTGACCTTAAACTCCTGATTAGTATTTGATTTGTTTATGATTGAAACTGGTCATAACATCATTCCATAACTAAAACAAGTGTCGTTCAAAAACTGAGATAGAATTAACAGACGTTTTAAATAGGCCACCTAGAAATTTTTAATTTGGGTCGTATTATCTGATTTGAGGTCGTGCCTGACTTACACATTCTCCGTAAGAGCGATAATTCAGGAAAGAGAAACATGTTCTGGCATATTATCGAGGAGCCTCCTGTGGAAATGGAGTGTTCATTTCTGAGCACCAACTGTCCAGGCATAGCAGTGACACAGCAGTGACAAGAGCCGCAAAGATCTCAGCGTACGTGCATTTACATTCTAGTAGAGTGCAAGAAGGAGAGAAGACAGGGCGGATGACAAATACAGGAAGTGGGTAATTCGTACGGTATGTCAGGAGTGATGGAAGTATGGACAGAAAGGAGAGAGCAGGTCACGGCCGCCCAGGGGGATCAGCAGAGCCAGCCTCGGGGTGGGAGGGTGAGCTGACCAACCAAGTGGTCAGGGCAGGTCTTACTGAGAGGCAGGGAGTGGAGCAGAGTGGAAGGAGGAGAGGGAGTTTGCCGAGTAGATGCCACGAAGAAGAATATTCTAGATTGGCAAAACAGCTAGAGCCAAGCCTCTAAGGCTGGGTGATCAATTTTGATGAGTGTTTGTTTATTCTTTAAAAACATTTTTCTTCTCTTTGTCATTGGTTCTTAAAATTATGTTTCTTCTCTGTAGTTTTAATGTTATTATAATATGCCATTATGTTTATGATACATATAAAGGACATTTTTAATATGTTGGGGATTTGTGAACAGAATTATAAAATGAACAACTGTGAACTGACCCTCCAGTTGACATACAAAACCATCATTACTCTGAAGCCCTTGTGCCCTGAACACATCCCCTCCCATCTCCTAGAGATTACCACTGTCCTGACTTTTTAAATTATAATTTACTTGCTTTTCTTTATGACTTTGCCATATGTGTTCCTAAGTAGTATTTTTTATTGTTAAATATTAGTATTGTTTTTAAGGTTTGTAAAAATGGTATCCTTTTATGAGACTTATATTTTTCCTCAGGTTTCTGAGATTTGTATGATACTGGAATTTAGACATTTTCTTTGCTTTATATTTTCATTGTAGAAATAAAGCACAGTTTATCTGTTTTCTTATTGAAAGACACTTAGATTTTCCCCCCTTTTTTATACTTTTATGAATAATACTGTACATTCTTACACATACCCCCTGGGATGTATATATTGAGCTTCTCTAGGATATTTATTTACCTAGTAGTAGAATTTCTGGGTTGTAAATCATACACATGTTCAACTTCAAATTTAGTACTGCATTGTTTTTCAAAAATGATTAGACTAGAAACAGTAACGTATAACACTTCATGTTTTTCTTTATCCTTTTATATTTTGTCGGTCTGGTAAGTATCAAATGGTATCTTATGGCCTTAATTTGTATTTTTTCTCTCAGTAAAGCTGAACATCTTTTGGTGTGTTTGTGAATTCTTTGTGTATCCTTTTTTGTGATATTCCTATTCATATTTTTTTAACCAATTTTTCTCTTATGTCTAAGAGAAAATGGCTTCCGTTTTAGTCACTGCAGTATAATCCACTATTTTCATTAGTTATTTTGATGCTTGAATTGTTCCCGATTTGGCCAATTACTTCAAGCTGGTTTCTTTTCCTTTTCATGTCTTCATCATGCTTTGAACACTTCTTAAAAGAAATTAATGAAGACTAAACTTCATCAAATGCTTTTCTGCGTCTTTCTAGATTATCCTGTGTATTTTTCCCTCCTTAATATGTTACAATGATGAATTATATTAATTGTTTTTCTACATTAATAAACCTTGCTTTTCTGGGCTAAACATAGTGTTTATACAATGCTGGATTCACTTTGCTATTATTTTGTTAAGATTTTTAAATTCTGTTCATGAATAGAATTCAATAGTAATTATTCTTTTTTTTACACTTGGCTTATTTTTCCCCAAAATTGTTTAATATAGTTTTTTTTTTTAACATTGCTGTAAAAGTCAGAATAATTATTAAGCATTTAGAGTTAGTCAGTTACACAGTCGCAGAGGCAGCTCTGGATGAGGACTTTGACTCAAAATTATAGTTATGAAAATACTGACATTACACAGCTTTCCTTTGTAGCAGAACCTGTTGGGGGTGAGTGACGCCGGCTTTGCGGGGGGACCGACTGCGGAACTGGTCACCGACTTTGGAATATTCTCTTTCACTATCATTTTACAAATTCCTATAGTTACATAAAGGAAGAAAAAATACATAGAATTGTCTCCATAAAGGATTTTCCCCCATTTTTATTGTGCTAAACTACATAACTTAGAATTTACCACCTTCATCTGTTCAAGTGGACAGGTCAGTGGCATGAAGGACAGTTCCACTGCCGTGTAGCCATCGCCACCATCTGTCTCCATTGCCTTTTTCATCTTGAGAAGTTAAAACTCTTTACCCATTAAACAATTCCCTGTTCCTTGTCCTCGCCCTGCCCCTGGAAACCCCCATTCTGCTTTCTGTGTCCATGATTTTAACTACTCTACCGCATATAAGTGAAATCATGCAGTATTTGTCTTTTTCTGAATGGATGTTTTCACTTACTGTTCTCAAGGTCCATTCATATTGATGCAAATGACAAGATTTCCTTCATTTTTATGGCCAAATTATGTATATATACACACCACATTTTCAATATCCATGTGTATGAAAATACAGTGTTTGCTTGATAAGGAGTTACATTCTATAATATATAAGAAAACTGAAGGAAAATAACCGAAACCCAATAGAATAATGGGCAGTAGGAATAGGCACTTTATACACACACATGCGTGCACACACACATGCACACACACATAAGAAGCAGCATGTAGAAGAAAAGACAGTGTGTCTTTTAAAGAATGGAAAGTGAAAAAACAGCAGGGCAACATTTTTTTCCTATTAGATTGGCAAATATTTAAAAGA